TTTATTTTTTCTTCTCCCCCTCTAAAACAAGGTGCGTCCTATGGTCAGGTGCGTCCTATACAGCGAAAAATACGGTACTTAGATGGCATCTTGTTCAAACCTGATTGAATCTTGCCTATTGGACAATCACAGAGAGAGAGAGGAGTGTGTAGAGATGACAAAATAGAACCTTACCAGACTGCAGGGAAGGCTTTGAGGAAGATGAAGGACCCTTTGCTATCCGTTAATCTTCCTGCCAAAAATTATCAGAACTGCTCTCCACTATTTCTCAGTCAGATTGTCAGGGTCAAACAAGTCAGTGCTGCCTTGCATATTGTCTAACTTGGACCATAATTGCATTATTTTTCACAATCCGTGCAAAATACAGGTTTTAATCTTTGTGTTTGTTTCCACCCTAAAAGGGCCAATAGGAGAATTTTGATACATGCATAGTCACATATAGTGTTAGATACTTGTCCATAGATATTCCATCTCCACTGCTTGAGAAGGAAAATGCAGGAATAAGTCTTCCCAAACTATGTGTCTCTTCCAGCATTGCAGACACTGGATCATGTTTCACTGAAATCAACAAGGGACTTTCAAGTAAGTGCAGTTACGGATTTGACTGAGCGTCTTTAAGACCGTGTTTTCCCCCCCACCCCTTTCAGGCTTAAGCTCAAAGGCACAACCATGAAAGACCCAAGTCGCAGGAGTACTAGTCCAAGCATTATAAATGAAGATGTGATCATGAATGGTCACTCTCATGAAGATGATAATCCATTTGCTGAGTACATGTGGATGGAAAACGAGGAGGAGTTCAACAGGCAGGTGGGTGAGCAGATAATGTGACACCTTCCATATCTGTAAAGAAGGAGTGTTTTTGTTTTGTTTTTTTGGTATCATATTTTATTAGAAATTTCAGAAGGACTCTTGCCTCTTTTCTGCAGATAAAGCCTTTGCAAAGAATTGTTGTTCTCGCAACATGCATCTCATTTGCCTATATTTTCTTCCAGTTCTTTCCTTGATAGTCTTGTCTCTCATTCTGAAACACAGATTGGTACTCTGGTTGCTTAATCTCTGCTCTCTGCTTATACTGGATACTTAAATAGAGAGGAATGCTCAGTGCTGTAGTTATTGGGGGGTGGGGGCTAGCCAGGTTTTTTGCACCAGGTGAATTTTCCAGAGGAGTGCCATTGAGGCTCCCAGCCTCTGTGTGTGTGTGTACATGTACACAAATGCACATGGCGGGGGCAAATGGAGTCTTTGACTCAGATGAAATAAAGCCTAGTTTTACCCCTGGATGCTAAATACCGTATTTTTCGCTCTATAACACGCACCTGACCATAACACGCACATCGTTTTTAGAGGAGGAAAACAAGGAAAAAAATTCTGAATGAAACAGTGGATGTATCATTTTTGTGCTTCATGCTGTGGCCACAGACATGTGATCTGATGGTGAATTTGGGGTAGCTCAATGCAAAGATCCTGAGGATCCATGTGGATCCATGCTTTTTAACCACATTTTTGCACCATTGCAGCCCCCGGCAACAGTGGGTGTGTGATTTTTGGGGGGCAGGCTGCTATGTGATCTGATGGTGAATTTGGGGTGGCCCAATGCAAAGATCCTGAGGATCCATGTGGATCCATGCTTTTTAACCACATTTTTGCACCATTGCAGCCCCAGGCAACAGTGGGTGTGTGATTTTTGGGGGGCAGGCTGCTATGTGATCTGATGGTGAATTTGGGGTGGCCCAATGCAAAGATCCTGAGGATCCATGTGGATCCATGCTTTTTAACCACGTTTTTGCACCATTGCAGCCCCAGGCAACAGTGGGTGTGTGATTTTAGGGGGGCTGGCTGCTATGTGATCTGATGGTGAATTTGGGGTGGCCCAATGCAAAGATCCTGAGGATCCATGTGGATCCATGCTTTGTAACTACATTTTAAGTGGGGAGTGAAGGAAAAACACAGAAGGGACAAGAGAGCGGTGTGCAGAGAAGCAGCTGGCTAAGAAAGCAGGAGTGGGATTTTACGGGAGGGAGGAAAGAAAGGCAAAAGTTTCCACAAACCGAAGCCAGCTTTCTCTCTCCTCCTGCATGTTTTCTGGCTGCCTGCGAGGAGCACGGAGAGGAATTAGAAGGAAAGACCTCTGCTTTCCCCTCTGCTTGCCTGGAGGGGAGGGGATTTGCCTGCTCTTTGTTCCGTTTGAGCAAACACAGCAACGAAACAGAGGAGGGTGGGCAGTAAGACCCTGAGGCAGAATGCAGGAAAGCAACCACTTCCTCTTTTCAGGTTTCCCTCTCCGACACAACGCACGATTGATTTTTGCTGATTTTTGTTCCTGCGCTCCCCTAATCGGCTCCAGGGACCCCCCACATTCGCTCCATAACACGCACAGACATTTCCCCTTCCTTTTTAGGAGAAAAAATCTGTGTGTAATAGAGAGAAAAATACGGTAAATACACAAGTTAGCAAGGCCTTCTGAGATTGAAGAATTCCTTGCCACGTGTAATTTTTAACTTACTAGCCATTTCTAGCCCTCTTATTCCACTTTCAAATAGTATCAGTGATTATCTATGTGGGGCTACCTTTGAAGGTGACCCGGAAACTACAACTAATCCAGAATGCGGCAGCTAGATTGGTGACTGGGAGCGGCCGCCGAGACCATATAACACCGGTCTTGAAAGACCTACACTAGCTCCCAGTATGTTTCCGAGCATAATTCAAAATGTTGGTGCTGACCTTTAAAGCCCTAAATGGTCTCGGTCCAGTATACCTGAATGAGCGTCTCCACCTCCATCATTCTGCCCGGACACTGAGGTCCAGCGCCAAGGGCCTTCTGGCGGTTCCCTCGCTGCGAGAAGCCAAGTTACAGGGAAGCAGACAGAGGGCCTTCTCAGTAGTGGCACCTGCCCTGTGGAATGCCCTCCCAACAGATGTCAAAGAGAAAAATAACTACCATACTTTTAGAAGACATCTGAAGGCAGCCCTGTTTAGGGAAGCTTTTAATGTTTAATAGGTTATTGTATTTTAGTGTTCTGTTGGAAGCCGCCCAGAAAGGCTGGGAAACCCAGACAGATGGGCGGGGTATAAATAAATTATTATTAATAATAATAATAATAATAATAATAATAATAATATGGTTAAATGCTGTGCGTTGCTATATTACAAGAATAAGAAGTAAAGCAAAAAGGCAATTTCAAACAAACTCATTAGTGTTAGGAAAGAAGTGAGGTGTGTTCTGATGGCCTCACAGACTCCCCGCCCCCGCCATTTTTCATTTGTGTCTTACTTCCCATGCTCTTAGTAGCTGAATGAATAAATTTATTACGGTCATAGACCAGAAGAAAAGAAAAAAACATAAAAGGCAGCAGTAATTTACGAGGGAATGATGGTGTCAATTAAAAGTTGTAAAATTATACATAAAAACAATACACATATACACACACACCCACACACACACACATATACATACTCATATATGCACTACAGTATATGTATGGGCTTAAAAGAAAGGGGGGGCTTATCCAGGGGTCAGATCTTTTACTTTTTTACAGCTAATGCCCTCCGCTTGATTGCGGCCGCAGAAAACTTGGCCACTTTCAGTGTTACTTCTGGGTTTTTATCTCCTAGTAGGATTTTCAGCCGCTGAGATTCAGATCGACCTGGAAATTTCTGAACGATAGGGGAGATAAACAGTAACCTGATATCCCCGTAAAGGTCGCAGTGTAACAACACATGTGAAGCCGTTTCCACCTCCTTCAGACCACATGGGCAAACTCGTTCAGCATAGGGTGTGCCCTCGTATCTGCCCTTTAGTAAGGCAGATGGCAATACATCAAATCTGGTAAGGGTAAACGCCCGCCTATATTTTGCGATTTGTAGGTCCAGCAAATATGGGGTTAGATTAAACCCTTTTCCATAATCTTGGATAGCTGGATATTTATCTATCTTGCTCATATGGTCCTGAAGCTCTACATCTCCTATTCGCTGGCTCACCATCATTTTAGCCTTTTCAAAGCCTGAGGCTATGAGTTCTTGTGGGGAAAGCCCCAGGCCCCTCAATTTTTCATAAAGCGACAATCTCCATTTAGACTGGAACGGGTCTAGTAGAGTCAATGGAGCCACTCCCACTGGGAAAAATATGAGTTTTAGCCAGAAGTGAATCTTCAGGATCCATATCCTGGCATTAATAGGGAGTTGACCTACCTCCAGCCTAATGGCAGTGTTAGAGACACAGGTAGGTAACCCTAGTAGGGAACGATAAAATTTAGTTTGTACAGATTCCAGGGACTTGAGTTTTTGACAATTAAATATCTGGGTGCCATACATCAATTGTGGAAGTATTTTTGCAACAAAGACCTGGGAGGCAGCAGGAACATATTGACCTCCTTTTCTGTAAAAGAATCTTATGATAGCTCTGGAAGATCTTTGCGCATTTACAATGGAATTCATTCATTCATTCATTCATTCATTCATTCATTCATTCATGCTCTTAGTAGCTGTGTTTAAAGTTAGCCTGCCTTGTTTTACATAGGATGTGTTGTCAGCTCATGTGGGATGGGAACTAAGGGAAATAAACTATTGTGCAACTAAATTATTGCACAAACTTGCCACGTTAAGGCTACTTACTGGAAAATATAACTCTTGCTAGAACCAGCTGAATTTTAAAAAAACAACAACCCAAAAACCTTTATTTTCCATGATGAAAATACTGTGAAGTAGTTGGTTGAGCAGTGCTGTAGCATTTTCTATGCGTGACCTCTGTGAAGAAGCCTTAAGATTGGTGGCTGTGGCAATGGTAAAGTTTCTCTCCTATGTCTTAATTACAGATCGAAGAGGAGTTGTGGGAAGAAGAATTTATAGAACGTTGCTTCCAAGAAATGCTGGAAGAGGAGGAAGAACATGAATGGTTTATTCCAGCCAGAGATCTCCCGCAAACGATGGATCAAATTCAGGACCAGCTCAATGATCTTGTTATCAGTGACAGTTCGTCACTGGAAGATCTGGTGGTAAGTGCCTGGTTTTAAACATTGAGTTTATTTGTACCAAGGCTGCCTACAATCCTTGTCAGGTATTTATTTCAAAGAGGAGCTAAAAAAGAAGGAAATCAAGACACTTTATAACAGAACCTCCTCTTCTGTCTTGTTCTCCTTCTCCCTTCTCCCTCCCTCTTAATGTCTTTGCAGTGGAAAGAATGGAGAGAAATAAGGAAAGCATGTGTTAAGAGTCTAGGAAAAATAGTCTGGGGCTAGGTGGTTAAGAGAGCGAATGTGTGCTTGCAGACCTCCGGAGCAGCTCTCATTTGGCTTTTGGATTCTGTGACAATGTGGCTTGCGTGTCTGGTGGCTGAAGCTGGAGGTGGCCTCAGTGTCTGTCTAGCATCTGCCATATGTTCAAGTCCGTTGGTAGCGCGCAAATTGTAATAATACATATCCCAAATGCTGGGAGGCTCAGTGCAATCTTCTGAATTTAAAAAGGCAATACTTTGGGATCGATGAACGAAGTGTTCCTCCAATTTTAGTAGACTAAAAGCATAGAACTAGCCAATGTAACATATTTTCCTTTCCTCGCACTTTCCAAGTCTGTTCCAAAAACACCTTGAGCATAGATAATGGCTAAAATGAGGGAAATTGGCTGAATATTGGAGTAGATCCAAAGTTAGTTTTGGCACCATTGATTTCATTGGGACCAAAGTTCAACTACTTGTGGGCACCTAAACATATCTGCTCAGAAGTCAGTTCCATTGAAGTTTCCTCCTTGTGTGCACATGAACCACAATGCCTAGACTGAAAAATTGCTTTCCCACAGGGAGAGCTCACCTGCAATATTTGTGTGAATTGCTGCCCTGTATATTTTTTTCCCTTGCCTATCAACCGTCTCTGAGAGGCAGGTAATTTTGACAACCTCACCGGAGTCCTTACTTAATAAAGCACATTTGTGTGAGCTGGCTCACAATTTGGGAGTTTCCTGCCTTAGTACATACTCTGCACTTGAATTCAGCAGAAGTTATCAAAGCAGTTGTTTTTGGACGGATAAACTTGCAGAAACATGTGAATCTTTGCTATTTTTTTCATTGATAGGAACCGCATGTTAAAAGTGCAGTGACAAAAAAAGTTTTAGTGAAGCCTCAGGTACAATAATAAACAAGAAAGTAGTATTCAGGAACTCTGGTGTGTTAAGTTAAAACCAGAACTACTTAAAAGTAACCACAAAATAACATCTAAATTGCCACATTAATGTTTTTGCTGTTGATGGTTAAGGATTCACTGTTAAGTTTAGAATTGGGAACAGTGGCTAAGACCACCAGGCTGCACTGTTTTAATCCATTATCTAATTAGGTGAGCCTGTGAGTTAGGCTCTTTGACTTCTTTTGTGACACGGCTGTGGATCCATAGGCATGGTTTTTTGATAGAAGCGAATAGGCTTGTACCAAATTCTATGATTCTATGAAATGTATTACGGTGTACTCTTAAGAAGGGGATTTCCTAAATACTCTTTATATATCATGGAGGGGGCTAAACAGCCAAGGATCTGTATTAATGTGGCGACAATTTGTTCAAAACTGTGGGAAATCCATAAAAATAATTGGTAAACATCCAAGGATCCTTCAAGCCCTACATTCAACATTCAGATAATTGTGTCCTTGACAAACAGTGGGGTTTCCTCTATGGTTTTTACAACAGTTTCCTAATCTTAAACATTTAAAAATTAATGTTTGTGCCAGGGGCTTTAGCTCAGTAGCAGAGAACATGCTTTGCATGCAAAACATACCAACTCAGTCTTGGTGAGTTTGGGACTTCCTCTGCATGTGAAGACAGGGTCCGGCAGATTGAGTGGATGAGACTAAGAGTGGGTCCAACAGTCAATAAGATGTTTTCTGCACGAGCTGCAGAGGGAAGTGAGGGGCAGGTGGAGCTTGACAACCTAGAAAGGTAGCCCATCCAGGAGAAGGAAAACTCGGGTGCTCAACCTCCAGCTGCCTCGCAGGATGTTTTCGGGAGAAGAAAGGGCTAAGGAGTAAACGAGACACAAATCCAGAGTGGAGTCCCTAAGACAGTTGGATGGAGCCTTGTCTGCCTCCTTCCTGCAATTCCTGCTGCTAAGCTGCTTTCCTTTGGACCACATTAGTGAGGCTTGTCGTCTGGGCAGCCCAGGACCTCCACACACACTGCCCAGGTTTGCACTTCGGTGCTGCTAACACGCTGGTTTGACTTCAGCCCCGGAGGCACACTTCATTGTTTCTTGAGACACATGGATGCCAACAAGACTCTGTAATCGCCAGCTAAAAGGATTAGTGCATGATGGCAAAGACTCCTGGTGATCTAGGCATGTCCAAAGTTCGTTTCGGGGGCCTAATTCAGCCTGCTGTTTGGTTTAATCCAGCCTCTGTGGCAGTTCATTTCCTGGGGTAAAATCCTAAGAAAAGCTCAACAGCTTTTGTTGGCCCTCATGCATGTTCACTTCATCAAATCTGGCCCTCTTTGAAAAAAGTTTGGACACCACTACTGGAGAGTCACTGGCCATCAGAGCAGACAGAACTGGACTATATGATCTATAGTGTGACCCCCGTATAAGGCAACTTCCTTTGTTTCTATGATAAGACTACCTTGTTCTTTAGAATATTTTTCTGTGATTGCATCTTGCAGCTCTTGGCTGTTAAGAACTTGAACCTTGTGCAAATGCGTCATAGACGCATTTTGCTCCATAAACTCAATCTATAATGTCTCTTTTTTCCCCCTCCAGGTCAAGAGTAATCTGAATCCAAATGCAAAGGAGTTTGTTCCTGGGGTGAAGTACTAAATATATGAGTAGACTGGGCCCTCTTTTGGTGGATGTAGCACAATTTCCACACTGTGAAGCCAGTATTAGAAGATTTAATTGTTAAAACGCTCTCTCTTCTTGTCACTGTGTTACACTTACGCATTGCCAAAGTTTTGTTAGTCTTGCATGCTTAATAAAAGTGCTGAGACTGTTATTAAGTCAACTGCTGTCAGAGGTTAATGGAATGGAGAAAAAAATGAAATAACACTTACAATCGGACCCAGGCTCTTTTTGTGAATGAGACAGTGAGGTTGGAAGCACCAGTCAAGTTGAGAAATGTACCAAGTTTCTGAGAAACTCTTGGAATTCTACTTTTTAGAAGGATTCGTGACAAAGAGTGGTCTGTTTTAGCTAAAGCAAGAGTTGGTGTCGATATGCACCTGATAATGCCTTAACATGAAAATAAAAGCAAGGTTTATCTGATTATGCAGATTAGCTGGATTATTTCAGAACTGCTACTAACTCTTCCCATGATGAAGCAAAATTTCACGTCCTGCTCTTCTTTTTTGAGAAGAGCGTGGATAATGTATTATACACGAACTGCTTTTACAGACCTGTACAAAGTCCTTTATCTTGGCTACCAGATCTGGTGGAGGAGGAACAAAAATGACTGGCAGATGAGATTGTATTACAGCAAGTTATCATGTTGGAATGTTTGTCCCACTAATACATTTATATTTAAAGCGATGCGAGGTTGTGCATCACAATTTCTTCCAGAAGTCCAGAAACATGGCACTGCCTGTATAAAATTTTACAACCTCAAAAGAGTTGGTTTTACCTGTAAAACTTTATAGCATTAGTGATTTGAGTGGTGCTTTTCCCTTGCTTTGTTTAATCATCCACTACACAGTAGTCTGCAGCACAATTTTTTTTTAATACAACTAGAACAGTTTTGGCTTCTTAAACTTCATATTTGGGTAGCTTAAGCTGCCATACGTGTTCAGTGTGAATAGTGTTTAAGTTGAAAATATTGTAAAAAAATTATATTTTTTCAAAAATATTTAAAAAAATAAATAATAGTAGAAACGACTTCTTGTTTTTTTTTATTTCCTGAGTGTTCATCTTTTTCAGAACTTGTGTGCAGGCCTTGATGGAGAGAGAAGGTAATAGACTTGACATAAGGAAAAGATGTAAAGGATGTGTGCTGTTATTTGTAAAGTGAAGCAATTTAGGGGAGACATGGGCCTGAATTAATGTTGCCCTTTTTTAAGATTACTCCTTGGCATGTAATGTCGCTAAATGCCAACAACTTTAAGCCTCTTGCTGTGGAATTAGCTTTCTTTACTTCCTAGGTACTGACAGTAACTGTAGTCTTGCACCTGGTTACATGCAAATCAAAGCTATCTTAAGTCTTTGGCTCCATACATTACCAGATGCAGGATAACAGTGATTTTTAACTGTCAGAGATAAATTGTAGAGAGTGCTACTTACGCCCTGTATTTCATTGTACACAGGTTGTACATTGACAATAAAGGTATTATTATTATATTACAGTTTCAGAGCAATCATAACCTGAGCTGGGGAACATTGAGGAGGTTTCAGAGGAGGAGATTTCAGAAAAATGCTTAATAATGACTTAATACCTTTCATAGTAATTTGGTTCACGGTTTGGTGCTATTAGCTAGCATATTTTTTTACAGCAAGGTCATTATAATAATTATTTACTTTTAAGTGTCCACAACACTTTACTTAGAAGTGTACTGGAAACAGAACTGGTTCATTGAGGAATCCAAGCAGTCCTCATATTTGTGTATGTAAACAATACCTCCCACCTGATGCATCATTTCTTGCCCAAAAAAGGTCCCAATTTCCTTAATTTTGATCACAACACTAGGCCAGCTGTAAAAATCAAAGTACGTTTAAAGCAATTATACTTGACTGAATCATTTTGACTGTGGAATTTACTTATTTTTACAGGACGATACACACAATTCTGCTAATGGCCACCCAAAAACATAACATAGCACCAATATATGTTTTTCTTCCAAGCACATACTGGATAGACAGAACTGAAAGGGGGTGGCAGAATTCTGCCCATGAACAAATGTGTCTTGCCAATTTACAGATTGCTAAACTGTTCGCCAGGCTGAGCCTTTAACTGCTTTCTCTTTAACTCAACACGTTGGCAGAGGAAAATCTCCTCTGCTGTTGTGATTTGCTTGAGGCATGGGGTATGATTTAAATACCCTAGTATCTGAGATTGTCCAAACTTCCATACCTTATGGGAGTCTCTTCAAACTTTTGTACATATGACTGTAATCTCTGCTGTGTTTGCTATCTGTTCTGGTGTGCTGGAATCCCTCTTTGTTCCGCAGTGAAAACCCATGAAGACTGGACAAATTGGCACATATTTTAACCACTGGATCCTTCTAACCACACCCATTCCAAATGGAAAATCGTAACTCTTCAGTTTTGCAGACGTGCCGCTGTTTGCATGTGCCCCAGCCTTCCACTGTACTAGACCACGTTCCTCTAGAGTCCCTGGGAAGGAGTATAGATGGGGGGAGGGAGAGGGTGTTCAAAAACAAAGAGGAGAACCATATAATCTCTTAACAAAATAAAGCAAGTTTACAACCGCAGATTAAACCTGAGATTTCTCAACTTAAAAACTATTTTTCCTCAATGTCAGCTGCAGCAGTCTTGGCCAAACGGCGACAGACAGTAGTTAAAAAGAAACTGCAGCCTCTGACCAGTCCCTTAAAATGGTTCAATCGTTAGACGCTCCATTTTGCAAATGGTTAATTCAAACTTGGTAGAAAGCACACAATTCTTACCATCTGCAATATGGATTGTTCACACAAACAACCCTCCAGCAAATGTGTAACACTCCAAATTCAGAAAATGGTCAGTGTGTGTGATCAGGATTCTACTAAATAAATTCTTGCTGCGTTTAAGTGTAGACACGTGTGTGTGTGCCTGAGCCTCCACAATCACCGCATATGCAAGTGCGCTCTCTCAAGCCCACAGCAGTCGATGACGAGTCAACGTTTCCACACTCCACCACTGTTAGTGAGGTAAAGGGTAAAGGGACCCCTGACCATTAGGTCCAGTCGTGGCCGACTTTGGGGTTGTGCTGCTCATCTCACTTTATTGGCCAAGGGAGCCGGCGTACAGCTTCCAGGTCATGTGGCCAGCATGACTAAGCCGCTTCTGGCAAACCAGAGCAATGCACGGAAACGCCGTTTAACTTCCTGCCGGAGCGGTATCTATTTATCTACTTGCACTTTGACGTGCTTTCGAACTGCTAGGTTGGCGAGCAACGGGAGCTCACCCCGTCGCGGGGATTCGAACTGCCGACCTTCTGATCGTCACGTCCTAGGCTCTGTGGTTTAACTGCTGTGGTTTAACTGTGGGGTGAAATGCTGCACTTTACTCTTCATCTCATCTCAGTCCTGAGATCTGGAGATGAAGTCCTCTGTCTGCTCCTTAGAGAGTGATCTTTAAAGAGCATGCAAGAGGGGTTTTTACTTCTCAGCCTCAGTGCTTGGTGCCACAGCACACAGAGAATAGGAAATAAAATGGAGCTGGCAGACCAGTTCTCGCAGCTTGCCGGGCCTGATCCAGCCCACCTCCTGTCATTTGATACCCCTGCTGTTAATACTGCCCCAGCTCCTAACTCCAGATGTACTGCATTTCCACCACTTAAGTATATGATATGCAGTCTAGAATAGTGCCAACACTGATACATGATAGAAATTGCTGGCTTCCGTTCTACATCTGTGTGATCTCTTGGTTCTGTGCTGTGCAGACATGTGAACTAGATTGGTCTGGACCCAGCTTGGGTTCCTAAGATTCTGTACACTCAAGACATGAAATGCAAGCAGCTTGAGAAGAAGAGGAGTTTGGATTTGATATCCCGCTTTATCACTACCCAAAGGAGTCTCAAAGCGGCTAACATTCTCCTTTCCCTTCCTCCCCCACAACAAACACTCTGAAAATACTGCAAGGAAATGAAACTGCTGTACCTGGGATGGTATTGTCCAGTATGAATGCAATGCCACCTCCAACAAACATTTCTGTGGTTAAGAGCACTGTTAATATTTGGTCCACTTCAGCAATACCTAGAAATAAGATTGACAACATGCCTGTCGTATCACAAATTCAAAACTGCTATTGGAGCTTGAACTGAAACTTGCAGATGGATTGAGCATGAAAATGTTAAATTTAGTAAATTTAAAACAATCCGTTTACAATTGAAACGGTGATATACATGTTTCTGTATGTCATTTTCTCCTTCCCCAACCCAGCCTTTCCATGGAGTTCAGAACCCTATTTTCTTACACTAACTCATTTTCCTACAAAGGAAGGTGGCACATCAAACCGGTTGAAGGAAGAGGCCTTTTCTACTATCCTTTGCCCTCACCATCAACACAAACCCAGACCCCAAGTTCTTTGCCCCCATTAGCCAAAGATAAAGGTCCCAGAAAGGACATGTTTTTCGTTTGGTAGGTGTAGGCAGTCTAAAGAAATGGAGTCTTTCTGCCTCTCTTTCCCACCCAATCCACCCATCGCTCCATTCACACATGCAGTGTACTGAGACTCCAGCAGGTGCAGTATGCAGCGGCAATACTCCTTACGGGGTCCTCGCTGCGGGATCACATTCACCCAGTGCTATACCAGCTGCACTGGCTCCCGGTGGAGTACAGGATCAGGTTTAAGGTGCTGGTTTTAACCTTTAAAGCCCTATACGGCCTAGGACCCTCATACCTACGGGGCCACCTCTCCTGGTATGTCTCACAGAAGACCTTACGGTCTTCAAACAAAAACATCTTGGAGGTCCCGGGCCACAGGGAGGTTAGGCTGGCCTCGACCAGAGCCAGGGCTTTTTCGGCTGTGGCTCCGATCTGGTGGAACGCTCTGTCACAAGAGACTAGGGCCTGCGGGACTTGACATCCTTCCGCAGGGCCTGCAAGACAGAGCTGTTCCACCAGGCCTTTGGCCAAGGCACAGTCTGACCCCCCTCCTTTGGTGATCCTCACAGAACTCTAGCCCAATGGTTGCCATCAATTTGATTTGAACTGATTTTAGAATGAAATGATTTTAGACTGATGCATTACTTTACTGTTGTTAGCTGCTCTGAGCCCGGCTTTGGCTGGGGAGGGCGGGATATAAATAAAATATGATGATGATGATGTACCATGCACATCATAGAATCCTAGAACTGCCACAAACAATTGTAATCACAATGTGGAGCCACAAGATGCCTGAAAGATCTATGTGTGTCTTTAGTTAGAAGCCATACAGAAGCTGACCAGACTGGCAGGAGACAGACTGACAACCAAGTTTGCTGCTGTTCCTGCTCCAGCTCAGGAGGAGGGAACAAAGGGGTGGGAACAGAGGAAGGGCGTCTTCTCTCTCTCTCTCTCTCTCTCTCTCTTAATTGTAGGACCAGCCCAGTCCTGAGGTTCTGTATGCCTCTGATTAGGCAAAGACTTTCCAGCGACTTTTCAATACAGTGGTACCTTGGATGGGAATGCAACCTGTGTCCGTGCATCTGCACATGCGGCGATTCGCCGCTTCTGCGCATGTGTCTGATGTTATTTTGAGCGTCTGCGCATGTGCGAGCAGCAAAACCTGGAAGTAACACGCTCCGTTACTTCTGGGTCGCTGTGGAGCGCAACCCGAAAATGCTTAACCTAAAGCTACTTCAACCCAAGGTATGACTGTACCTGTGTTGATAGCATTTGGGCGCGAATCCAAGTAGTTTGGGACGGTGAGCCCAAAAAACATTGCGAAGCCCAGGACGAAAAGGTTGCGGGAGGAGTTCATGTCGACAAACTGCAGGTTGGAGAGCCCCACTGCTGTGATCATGCCTGCAAATGGGAAAGAGGAAAAACTTTATTATACATGCGCGGTGGACTTCTTAAAGATAAGGTTGCAGAAAAGGCCAGTGCAAGGGACCGACTTCCCCAGTCAGTGCTGCTTCAGAACAATCCTTGTCTGTAAACTGTTTTTCTGGGATAGCACACATTGCAGCAGCCCCAAGTGAATCTTCTAACTAAGGTAAATGTAAAGGGACCCCTGACCGTTAGGTCCAGTCGCGGACGACTCTGGGGTTGCGGCGCTCATCTCGCTTTATTGGCTGAGGGACCTGGCGTACAGCTTCTGGGTCATGTGGCCAGCATGACTAAGCCGCTTCTGGCGAACCAGAGCAGCGCAAGGAAACGCCGTTTACCTTCCCACCGGAGTGGTACCTATTTATCTACTTGCACTTTGACGTGCTTTTGAACTGCTAGGCTGGCAGGAGCAGGGACCAAGCAATGGGAGCTCACCCCGTCGCGGGGATTCAAACCGCCGACCTTCTGATCGGCAAGTCCTAGGCTCTGTGGTTTAACCCACAGCGCCACCCGCGTCCCACTCTAAAGGGTAGAGAAACTGTATTTTGACAGGCGGTGGGTGCCATCTATAGTGTCTGGTATGGGTGCAGTCAGGGGGTGTAAATTAATCAATCAATCCTTAACTAAAAGTAGAAACTATAGAAAGATTTTGACAGATTTTTCTGAGCACTTTGGGTCAAAAGAAATATCAAAATGTTTATTCGGCTTTATGCCCATCATGAAACACAACACAACAAAACAAATCAAATCAAATCAAATCAAATAAAACAGCGGACTCGTACAAGCCACAAGTAGTATAGCACAGTTCTCAACTCAGAAGGACAGATATTAGCCATTCATAAGAAAAGTTTAAGATTAAGATTAAAAGAAATTTTAGGCACTACACTAAAATCAATATCTGATGTAATTATAGAAAATTCTTATAACTATCAATAATCAGCTAACATTCCATTCCGTCTCTTGTACGAGAGGACGGCTGTTAGGAATTTAGCAACCTGTAGGGTAATATAAGGATCCACATCTTGAAGAACCCAGGCCAGCTGTGGGTCTACTGATTTGTCAGCCATAGGCTGGATTATGGAGTTTAGTATACTAGCACGGGCTGAACTGTACAAAGGGCAGATAAACATAACATGATGTAGAGATTCAGATGTTTTCATTTCACACGCACACATTGAAGGGACTTGGCCCTTAGTGAATCTATGTCTCAGCACGTTTGTTGGAAAGACATTAAACCTAGCTCTAATGAAGGCATATCGGTGAGACGCGGCCGTAAGCGATGTTAAGTAGGACGGAGCGCGGTAGATAGGGGTTATGCCAAAATTTAACGGCGAGCAGACACCACCACCAGCTACGAAATTTTGGTATAGCTCCACATCATCCAGCCTTTGATTTATACACCTTTTTGCCACAAAAGAAAGTAATTTAAAGCAACTGTTGCTGAGACATTTCAAAATTGTTGAGCTTTTTCTTACAAAAGCATCAAAAACCCCTGCAAAAATCTGGACGTTTGGCAGGTGGGTGTCCACTCCCCCAAAACCAAAATCTTGGCTCTGCCCATGGTATCCAGGGTTTTGGATCCCTGGTGGAAACAAATACCCCTGTAGCCCCAAACACAACGCCACTAGTTCAGGATTGGGGGTGGGGCGCAGACCATGATATGTGGGTTTACACAATGAAATTTCAAGAAAGTACAAGATTCTTTATATTTTCAGTGATCAAGGGAGTCTTAAGTGCCCTTCACCCTGGCTAAATTACACAAACTAAGACTGCATACACACTATACCAGGGGTCAGCAACCTTTTTCGGCCTTGGGCTGGTCCACCGTCCCTCAGACCATGTGGTGGGCCAGACTATTTTTTTTTGGGGGGGAATGAATGAATTGCCCCACAAATAACTCAGAAATGCATTTTAAATAAAAGCACCCATTCTACTCATGTAAAAACACCAGGCAGGTCCCACAAATAACCCAGAAATGCATTTTAAATAAAAGCACACATTCTACTCATGTAAAAGCACGCTGGTTCCCGGACCATCCACGAGCCGAATTGAGAAGGCATTTGGGTCGCATCCAGCCCCTGGGCCTTAGGTTGCCTACCCCTTCACTATACCTTTAAAGTACAGCCCCCTCCCCACCCACCCCAAAGGATTCTGGGCACTGTAGTTTGTTAAAGGTTGCTGAGACTTGTCACTCACAAACTACAGCACACAGAATTCTTTGAGGGGAGGAATGTGTTTTGTTCTTTAAAAGTTGTGTGTGTGTGTAGCTTTAACTGTGTGTGCAAATTTCCTTAGTTCTCACACTTGATGCAGGTCACCCTACAATTCAACCTTTCAACTTCGGATATTTTTATGTATCACAGAACATTCGTATCACTTCTTCGAGTCCTCTCTAAGGGTGCTTCCAAAGTCTGTTGCTAGTTCTGAGTTGGATTCAATCACGTACTAGTAAATCAAATGTACACATTTATATTTGATTGGGGGGGGAGTCTTGCACAACAAACCCAGTTTTTTGCTGTAAGGGAAGTGACAGGAAAATACACTGGAAAATGTAGCGAAACACTGTTTTGATGCAACAGTCACCTAACCTCTCTGCAACATATCAAGATGAATGTTCATTAAATAGCCAGTGTTGTCTGCAAGCGTATCTGGTTGAATGCTCAATAAATAGGTTGTCTGGAAACACCCTAAGATATATTAAACCCCCTTTTAATCCTAGAAGCATCAGCAAATCATGCAGAGTTAACTGAGAAATCGCCGCAATATGGACACTTTAAGGGGCTACGGTGTGCCTAGCATTTTGCAGAAAATAAACATACTGGGGAAGAGTAATGTGGGAATGCGATTGCCCCAAATAAGTGTTTTATGTTGTTGTTGTTGTTGTTGTTTAGTCATTTAGTCGTGTCCGACTCTTCGTGACCCCATGGACCAGAGCACGCCAGGCACTTCTGTCTTCCACTGCCTCCCACAGTTTGGTCAAACTCATGCTGGTAGCTTCGAGAACACTGTCCAACCATCTCGTCCTCTGTCGTCCCCTTCTCCTCCATCTTTCCCAACATCAGGGTCTTTTCCAGGGAGTCTTCTCTTCTCATGAGGTGGCCAAAGTATTGGAGTCTCAGCTTCAGGCTCTGTCCTTCCAATGAGCACTCAGGGCTGATTTCCTTCAGAATGGATAGGTTTGATCTTCTTGCAGTCCATGGGACTCTCAAGAGCCTCCTCCAGCACCAGAATTCAAAAGCATCAATTCTTCAGCAATCAGCCTTCTTTATGGTCCAGCTCTCACTTCCATACATCACTACTGGGAAAACCATGGCTTTAACTATACGGACATTTCTTGGCAAGGTGATGTCTCTGCTTTTTAAGATGCTACCTAGGTTTGCCATCACCTTTCTCCCAAGGAGCAGGCGTCTTTTAATTTCATGACTGCTGTCACCATCTGCAGTGATCATGGAGCCCAAGAAAGTAAAATCTCTCACTGCCTCCATTTCTGTGTTTTATAGTCATCCTTAAATTTTTAGTACTGCTTTACTTAAACGGAGCGGACAGTTTGCTTTCCTTCAGAAGACTGTTGCTCTGCCTCCGGGTAGCTGGCAAAATAAAATACAGCTACGTCAGATTTGGAAACATTTTTGTGTGTGTGTTCTGAGAGAGAATATTAAAGTGGGAGAAATAATATTGACAAATCTCCTTTAATATAGATGCTTTCCTAATAGTTTTGCTTTTGTGTTTTTAGCTTGGGGAGTCTCTGAGGTGTTCTTAAACTGCTACAGCATTGCTTTTTGTCAAAACTATACAAAACACACTTCACTCTTCACTTTAATTTAATAGTCCTCATGTGGCCCCCTCTAAAACTTTTATTCAGATAAATGTGTATTCTGGAAAAAGAGGAGGGCAACCTCAGACCTAATATCTGAAAGGCTGGCAGGGAATCAAACCATTGCAAGCTTTTACTTTGTTCAGGTTCAGCTGTGGTTTAAATTGTGCTTTTGGCTCTGCTTGAATTGATGCTTTTGAATTATGGTGCTGGAGGAGACTCTTGAGAGTCCCATGGACTGCAAGAAGATCAAACCTATCCATTCTGAAGGAAATCAGCCCTGAGTGCTCACTGGAAGGACAGATCCTGAAGCTGAGGCTCCAAGACTTTGGCCACCTCATGAGAAGAGAAGACTCCCTGGAAAAGACCCTGATGTTGGGAAAGATTGAGGGCACTAGGAGAAGGGGACAGCAGAGGACGAGATGGTTGGACAGTGTTCTCGAAGCTACCAGCATGAGTTTGACCAAACTGCGGGAGGCAGTGGAAGACAGGAGTGCCTGGCGTGCTCTGGTCCATGGGGTCATGAAGAGTCGGACACGACTAAACAACTAAACAACAACAACAGTGAAACAAAGGCTCCTTCACTGTCTTGGCATATGTGAATTAAGTTTGTTATTGACAACTGAGCTGCCAGACATTCCTCCCCTTATTGCAGGGGCTTGAACTAGATGACACTCAGGACTCCTTCCATCTCTACAATTAATGATTCTATGATAAGGGTTGGAGGGAGTTGTAGCTGAAAACATCTGGACAGGACCAGGTTGGGGAAAACTACAGCATCTTAAAAAGCAGAGACATCACATTGCCAACAAAGGCCCGTATAGTTAAAGCTATGGTTTTCCCAGTAGTGATGTATGGAAGTGAGAGCTGGAACATAAAGAAGGCTGATTGCCGAAGAATGGATGCTTTTGAATTATGGTGCTGGAGGAGACTCTTGAGTTGGACATGACTAAACGACTAAACAACAAACAACAACTGTCACTAAGATCCTGGTCATGACTGGCTATTTCCACATGACTTCTTCTTCTTCTTCTTCTTCTTCTTCTTCTTCTTCTTCTTCTTCTTCTTCTTCTTCCTCGACAATCACTTGTAGCTGAGTGAGATTGTCTTCCATGAATATGGCCTTGACAGTGAGTCCATAAGTGATTATGGAGGCCAATTCTGGATCCTTCCACAGTGTGGACACAGGTTTCTAGGCAGGAGTTGATCATAGTGAGGCTTTGCCAAGTGTGCCTTCCTCTTAGCACATTTCTCTATTTTGTCCTGAGTTCGAGCATCTTCAAAGTCCATGACACCTTTGGTAAAGGCTGCTCTCCAACTGGAGCGCTCACAGGCCAGTGTTTCCCAGTTATGCTTATACAGTGGTACCTCAGGTTGAGAACTTAATTCGTTCTGGAGGTCCGTTCTTAACCTGAAACTGTTCTTAACCTGAGGTACCGCTTTAGCTAATGGGGCGTCCCACTGCCGCCACCGCGTGATTTCTGTTCTCATCCTGAAGCAAAGTTCTGAACCCGAGCTACTATTTCTGGGTTAGCAGAGTCTGTAACCTGAAGCGTCTGTAACCTGAAGCGTATGTAACCCGAGGCACCACTGTACTACTTTTTTTAAAAAAAGATTTGCCTTGAGAGTGTCTTTAAACCTCTTTTGTTGTCCACCGGTATTTCACTTTCCATTCTTAAATTGGGAATAAAGTGGTTGCTTTGGAAGATGATAATCAGGCATCTGAACAATATGACCAGTCCAACGAAGTTGAAGAATCATTGCCACACTACTACAAGTAAGTGACTATATTCTATAGGTTTTCTTGCTATATTTATAAGAAATAATAATATCCTGCTTACTGCATTTTGCACAGCAGAATAAAGGTAACTTACCAAACAACGTGCAGAACATCCCTCCAAGGATTGGGTCAGGGAGGGAGGCAAACAAAGCTGTAAATTTGCCAATGGTTCCCAAAATGAGCATGATTCCAGCACCGTACTGTACCACTCTCCTACTGCCTACCTGTATAAGAAGAGCAAACACACGAGTAACAGCCAGTTAATCAAATGTTCATCCTTCACAATATTGTTATTCATCTCCATGTCTGCTTCCCATATTGCTGCAGGGAGAAGGGGGTTCTGTTGCATCTATTTATTAGTGTTGTACTGTTAGGTACCCCTGCCCGTACGGGCCAGTCTTGCCAGACTCTAGGGTTGTGCGCTCATCTCACTCTATAGGCCGGGAGCCAGCGCTGTCCGCAGACACTTCCGGGTCACGTGGCCAGTGTGACAAAGCTGCATCTGGCGAGCCAGCGCAGCACACGGAATGCCGTTTACCTTCCCGCTAGAAAGCGGTCCCTATTTATCTACTTGCACCCGGGGGTGCTTTCGAACTGCTAGGTTGGCAGGCGCTGGGACCGAACGACGGGAGCGCACCCCGCCGCGGGGATTCGAACCGCCGACCATGCGATCGGCAAGTCCTAGGCGCTGTGGTTTTACCTACAGCGCCACCCGCGTCCCGTTGTACTGTTAGCTAGACTATTAATGTCTCCAGGACAAGAGAATTTGCAATTCTTTGGTAGAAGAAGAAGAAGAAGAAGTATAGTACCTGACGACTATAGGCTTTGCCCTTTCAGTCGGGTTTCTAACTGTCATAAGAGATCATTAGTCCCATGTTTTCATGAGCAAAGTGAGATTTTAAGCTACAATCCTGTGCACACTTACCTGGAAGCAAAGGTAAAGGTAAAGGGACCCCTGACCATTAGGTCCAGTCACGGATGACTCTGGGGTTGTGGTGCTCATCTTGGCCGAGGGAGCCGGCGTACAGCTTCCGGGTCATGTGGCCAGCATGATTAAGCTGCTTCTGGCGAACCAGAGTAGCACACAGAAACACTGTTTACCTTCCTGCCAGAGTGGTACCTATTTATCTACTTGCACTTTGTGCTTTCGAATGGCTAGGTGGGCAGGAGCAGGGACCAAGCAACGGGAGCTCACCCCGTCGTGGGGATTCGAACTGCCGACCTTCTGATCGGCAAGTCCTAGGCTCTGTGGTTTAACCCACAGTGCCACCTGCACCCTTACCTGGAAGTAACTCCCCTTGAATTCAGCCACCTAAGCTATGTGCCTTTAAATTCTGCATTCCAAGCTGACTTATAACAGGTCATATGGAGGAAAGTTGACATGGTGCCCTCCAGATATTGCAGGACTTCAGCTCCCATCATCCCTGATAATCGAGCATGTTGGCTGCAGATGACGGCAGCTGGAACCCAACAGCATCTAGAGGCTACCTCTCAGCCAGGCCTCTAGCCCAGCACTCTCTGCTCCAGCAAACAGCAGCACTCCCGGGTCTTGGGAAGAAAATGGGAGTCTCGCCTCTCCTTTCATCTCCTGCAACTGACACCGGAGACGCCAGGGATTGTACAGGTGGGGCAAATCTTTCTGTTATGTACTGAGTTGAATAGGATCCAAAATGCAGCAGTCTGATTGGTCCTAGAACAATAGGATCCAAAATGCAGCAGTCTGATTGGTCCTAGAACAATAGGATTCAGAATGCAGCAGGTCTATTGTCCACAGGAGCCACCAATCCAGCTACAGGTGGAAGTGAATCCGACAACCTGATTGCCTACAGGAGATTCCCGTATTAGACCAAATCACGTGGGGCCCATGTGTAAAATAATGTATATAAAGCAGGACATTTGGCGGGAACTTCACATTCCTCCTCTACACTAGAGCTGAATAAAGAGCATGCAATCCACTCTCAAATCCAGTATATGTCATTTCAATGACAATCTTGCACAGAGCTACACCGTAGAACCATGTGCAAAAAACGATCTCCTGTAGGAACCCATTCTTCACATATAAAGTTCTGATGAATTGCTTCCTGATGTTCTGTCCTACCGCAGAGAGGTAACTCGGCCAGAGATAAAGCAGATAGTTCAGTGGCCTCTGAAAAAGCCACAGCTTCTCTGCCTCTGACTTAGTTTATACAGTTTATAAAGATGTTAAGGACCTCTGCCAACCTTAGATGGACCAACAGTTTGACCTAGTCAATGGGAGCTTCCTCGTCTTCCTAACTCTGCACCCACTGGAATAATCCCAGGATTCCATGGGAGGCCGTCACGTACGTGAAATCAAAGTAACCAGAAGCCCAAACTAGGATGGGACTGGAAGATCAAAACCTGCTGCTGATCTTGCCCAGGTGCCAGAAACTGGGAGCCTCATACTGCTTCTGGAGCGGAGGAGAGAAGCAAGCAGCTGCCGCGTTCAGCTCCGGCAGATGTTCCCGACTCTCCTCCCAGCATAGCCCCAGGAACCGTGACTGGCAGAAATCCAGCAAGAAACAGAAGGTGCCATCAAACATCGCAGGGTCGTACCTTGGTGATGCCCAAGACGCCGATGTTGGGGCTCGAGGAAGTAGAACCATTGCCAGTGCCCAGCAAACCAGCAATGATACAAGAGATTCCCTCTGTAAAAATGCCCCTGAGAAGGGAAGAGAAAGAGAAAGAGAAAATAACTCCAGTTATTGCATTAGGTTTTCCGCATGCCTACCTCCAACAGTGCCCCGGCTACTGAACTACCATTCCCTGAGGCAATGCGTCAATTATCCATGCAATGCAAGGAAGCTGCATGTCTCCTACCTGTTAATGGCATGCACAGGTGGAGGTGGAGCACCTGCAAGCCTAGCACAAGCATAATAATCGCCAATAGACTCAACGATCCCACACAAGGTAGCGCTGAACATGCCCAGCACGGCGGCAGCTGTCACTGTGGGGATGCCCCACTGGCCTAGAGTGAAGGGGAGCAGCTGTTAGCAGGAGACGAACGTTGCCTTCACTTTAACACTGAATAATAACAGCAGCAATAATCACAATAAATTTTATTATTTGCCCCAGCCACTCTGGGCGGATTCCAACAAATATAAGAGCATAATAAAACACCAAACATTCAAAACTTCCCCATGCAGGGCTGCCTTCAGGTGTCTTCTAAAAGTTCTTTATCTCCGTGACATCTGATGGGAGGGCGTTCCACAGGGCAGGTGCCACTACCGAGAAGGCCCTTGGTATAACCTCAACACTTTATTCCTCATCCATACCACATCAACTCTCTCACAGATTAACCCACACAATCCTTTATACCAGGCCAGTCCAACATGCGGCCCTTGAGGAAATTTTTGACAGCCTTCAACAACATTTGACCCACCCCACCCTTGCAACCTTCCCCCTGCTGTTTACCAAGCTTGGGGAAGGACGTGTGAGGGCTCTGACAGGGTCCTAGAATCCACCTGCCTCCTTCCCAAAACCTAGCTAGGGATATATCCTATAACCCTTTTAAAATGTGGTTCTTTCCTGGGGGGCTGTTATTGGGTTGTTGTTTTTATTCTGATTATATATGTTGTGATCTTTTCTGTGAACCACCCTAAGACCTCCGGGTATAGGGCGGTATATAAACTCAATCAATTATTAGTAATAAATAATAATAACAACAACAACAATAATGGCTAGCACTTAGTGAGTATGTGTGAAGACATAGACTCATGAACTTTTGGACTCTTCCCCCATAGATGCAGCAATGGACTATCCTGAGGGCTGTGGCTATGGGGGTTGTTCTAATGAGGTCCTGCACATCATACATTTGGGGTGCAGGTGGCGCTGTGGTCTAAACCACGGAGCCTCTTGGGCTTGCCAATCAGAAGGTTGGCGGTTCGAATCCCCGCAGTGGAGTGAGCTCCCATTGCTCAGTCCCAGCTCCTGCCAACCTAGCAGTTCGAAAGCATGTCAAAGTGCAAGTAGATAAATAGGTACTGCTGCGGCAGGAAGGTAAACGGCGTTTCCGTGCGCTGCTCTGGTTCGCCAGAAGCAGCTTAGTCATGCTGGCCACATGACCCGGAAGCTGTCTGCGGACAAACGCCAGCTCCCTTGGCCTATAGAGCGAGATGAGCGCGCAACCCCAGAGTCGTCTGTAACTGGACCTAACAGTCAGAGGTACCTTTACCTTTGCCAATAAATCCTTACTCAGCTCTGAAGCTTACTGGGTGATTTTGAGCCCACAGATCTACCTCGGAGGTTTGTTGTGAAGATGGAGGATGGGGAGATGGAGAAGCAAGAGTCAGAAGGGAATATCCATCGTTACTTACAAGGGTAAGGGAGACGGAACCACGGTGCAATGGATATTATTTCTCCTCTAGCGTCTGTTCTGGCCTTGAATCCATAGGCATCTACATCACGAGGAAATACATCTGTCACTGTCAGAATGTAACACAGCAGCCAGACCACCAAGATGGCCAGAATGATCTGAAGAGGAAACAGATATGGCAATGGTACCCACTGCTTTCACTGCCCTAACTTGCCACACACCTACATCCTTAGAGCGGATCCTGTGAACGTTTACTCAGACGTAAATCTTGCCAAGTTCAATGAGACTTACTTCTGGGAAACTGGACAGGATTGCAGCCTGAGTAATTCAAAGGGGGGAGGGAAACAGGAGCGTAACCTTTCTGCTTTGCTATAGTCGCTACATATGCCTTTCCCAGTTAGTAGCTGTACTGAATTTACATAATTTTATTTATGTGCGGTGGTTGTTTTAATCTCTCTCTCATATGTGATTGTTTAAACCATGGGTAAGCAAACTAAGGCCCGGGGGCCAGATCCGGCCCAATCGCCTTCTCAATCTGGCCCGCAGACAGCCTGGGAATCAGCGTGTTTTTACATGAGTAGGATGTGTGCTTTTATTTAAAATGCATCTGTGGGTTATTTGTGGGGCATAGGAATTCATTCATTATTATTTTTCAAAATATAGTCCGGCCCCCCACAAGGTCTGAGGGACAGTGGACTGGCCCCCTGCTGAAAAAGTTTGCAGACCTGTGGTTTAAACTATTTTTATGCATGTAATTGTTGCAATTCACGCTGGGGTGCCTCAGGGGAAGCAATCCATAAATTAAATAAAAGTCTTGGCTCGTTCCATTTTGAAATTATTTCTGGTATCCAAGATGAGAAGACTCCAGAGAGGCTGTTGAATTATACAACCCACAGGTTAGGGTCCTTTCAATATGACATGCGTGCTTGCAATAAACGTGCTTCAATTTTTACCCTCATCCATAGCACGGAATCCAAACATTGCTTCTCTTGAAATTGCATTTTCCTAGCATCCACCCTGCTACATTTTGTCACTGGGAACATTAGATTCTTCCCTGAGACAGCTTTTTCAGCACCACTGCAATTGCTGTGAGGAACGGGGTTGTGCAAGTTCACAAGCCCCCTTTTCGTCATTCCGAGCGACACTGTGACCATCAACACAATTAATTCCTCACTCACAGCATTCGCCGCATGTCAACCCTTTCATTTCTTTTTATTGCGTGAAAATGGAAACGCTCCGTTTTTCTTTACCCTCGAGCCAAAGTAAGCTCTCGATAGACACAGAGAGAGAAGTTCCCTTCCTAGTTTCACATCTGTGTCTTGCTAAGGGTTTAGCTACATGTTCTATGCATTTGCAAGATAAGCATGCGCTCGGGACCCCCATGACTAGGGAAACAGATGGGGAAAGTGGCAGGAAACAGAAGAGTTAAATCCTGTCCCTTTTTTTCCAGCTCTAAATGGACAATTTGGCCTTCTGGTGTTAGGTGTGGGGTGGAAACTGTTGGTTACTGTGTGTTGCCACTGTGCAGTGCTTGGAGTCACAGGACTCTGTTTACATTCCAGAGATTCCATACTGCTGGAAGTCTCACGGAAGACAGGAGACGGATGTGATATTTACTGGTTTCCTGTTCCTTTGTTTTTCAGTTGCTCTCTGCTCTCACAGAGAGAGGATGTATTTATTTTCTGTCTGTGTAGCTTAGTAATAAAACTCTTAGCATGTAGCTCATATTTCTCGTCACTTCTGCTGCTTTAAAACTCTGCGGAATGGGAACGTGCTTGGAGCCTTATTAGAGGCTCAGGTCGTTAATTATCGTCGGAGGGTGATTTCAGAGGAGCTCGGTTGAACGCAGGTTCCAACAGAAACATCCTCTTCGGACGAACTGACATCTGTGGCAGGCCAAATCTGGCCTGCAGACAGGAGGTTCCCCACATCTGTGATCTGGGATATGGTAGGGGTGGTATATAGTGGATTTCCTTGGAGGGATGTTGACAGTTGACAGCTTAAGCCAATGAGGCACTGAGGAGAACCAAACCATCCCCTCTTTCCCCAATCCTTCTCTCTTTCTGCCACTCCTTCTCTCTCCCTCTTTGCTGGTGAAGGGATATTTCATTCTCGCCAGGTGATTTTCATTGATACTCGGCCCAGAATCCCTGAAGGAGCGTCTCCACCCCCATTGTTCTGCCTGGACACCGAGGTCCAGTGCTGAGGGCCTTCTGGCGGTTTTCTCACTGTGAGAAGTGAAATTACAGGGAACCAGGCAGTGGCACCCACCCTGTGGAATGCCCTCGAACCAGATGTCAAGGAAATAAACAACTATCTGACTTTTAGAAGACATCTGAAGGCAGCCCTTTTTAGGGAAGTTTTTATGTTTGAGCCTTTATTGTGTTTTTCATGTTCTGTTGTGAGCCGCCCAGAGTGACTGGAGAAACCCAGCCAGATGGGTGGGGTAGAAATAATAAATTATTTTTATTATTATACTCTGTTGAGTTCCCTTGAACCAGTCATTTACTCTGAGCTTAAAACTATCCCACAGGTGGTAGGGAAGCCATATTTTGAAGAGCAAAAAAAAAAAAAAAAAAAGAGGACACATTTGTAGACTTCTGCTTTTAGCTATGGATCGCTATGGCGACTCTCATTTTACATGCCTATGAAAATGAGGATGTGTCCTGGAAAATAGAGGACATTTGGTATGTTGTTTTTGGAATTAAAAGGCGCAGTCAGCTTAAACCTTCCAGTGATGGACCAGAGTGAAGACTTGCTCACTCCAGTCTGCCCACAAAGGCCATGACTAGCCGATTCAAATAAAGAATTTTGGCGGGAAGTCCCACAAGCCGGGAAAGAACTCCTCCGTGTTCCAGGGGGCGGGGGGGGGGCTGAGCCAGGCCGCAACAGCCTCCCACCCAGAATTCAGGTAAGTGAACCTTATATACTACCCTGAGGTTGTTTTTTGGAATTAAAATGTAATAACTAAATAGAACAAGCCCTTGGATAATGGAGTGAAATCATCAAAATCTGACCAGACTGTGACCATGGAAAGTTTTCCCTATTGACCTTTCTTACCGGGAACATCTTGAAGATCTGAATTCGGAACACAGTGCACCCTTGTCCCCATTTGTAGCCGGGGAGGAGAAAAGACACATTTCGTAGGTACTGAGCAAACAAAATGATTAAGAAAATCGACCTGTTCAAAAGAGAAAAAGGCATCGTGAAAAGCGGAGATCAAGAGCAATCAGGGAACAGAAACATTAGAACCAATTCACACAACTTCAAATTGCACATCTTTTGCTACTGTTAAGGATTCAAGAACATCAAGAACATAATGTTATCCGTGCAATTTTGACTTCTACATTTTCAAAAACAAAAATTGGCATTGCTGGCAGCGGCAAGTCACATGAACTAGCCTCGAATCTGTTCTGGATGGAGAAATTTAACAGCACTGGAACAGGATTTGGCCTTATAAAGTGATTTGTGCTTAGGAATTACAACTCTGCAGCTGTTCTGTTCCTTTGCGGATTTGATTTGTTCTTTCTCCACAAGCTGAAAAATTAGTGCAGTAGAGTCCCTAATGTCCCTCTGATTTTAATCTGACACTAACACCCACTGGGCCCATCACCTCCTGGCAAATAGAAGGGGAAGAAATGGAGGCAGTGAGAGATTTTACTTTCTTGGGCTCCATGATCACTGCAGACGGTGACAGCAGTCACGAAATTAAAAGACGCCTGCTCCTTGGGAGAAAGGCGATGGCAAACCTAGACAGCAGAGACATCACCTTGCCAACAAAGGTCCTTATTGTTAAAGCCATGGTTTTCCCAGTAGTGATGTATGGAAGTGAGAGCTGGACCATATAGAAGGCTGATCACCAATGAATGGATGCTTTTGAATTATGGGCTGGAGGAGACTTGAGAGTCCCATGGACTGCAAGAAGATCAAACCTATCCATTCTAAAGGAAATCAGCCCTGAGTGCTCACTGGAAGGACAGATCCTGAAGCTGAGGCTCCAATACTTTGGCCACCTCATGAGAAGAGAAGACTCCCTGGAAAAGACCCTGATGTTGAGAAGACTGAGGGCACAAGAAGAAGGGGACGACAGAGGACGAGATGGTTGGACAGTGTTCTCGAAGCTACAAACATGAATCTGACCAAACTGAGGGAAGCAGTGGAAGACAGGAGTGCCTGGTGTGCTCTGGTCCATGGGGTCACGAAGAGTCGGACACGACTAAACGACTAAACAACAACAAACACCCACAAACCTTCTGTTTCAGTGTGTCTGAAGAAGTGTGCATGCACACGAAAGCTTCTACCAAGAACAAATTTAGTTGGTCTCAAAGGTGCTACTGGACAATTTTTTCATATATTTCGACTGCGTCAGACCAACACGGCTACCTACCTGAATCTAGACCCACAACCCTGAGATATTTGAGCCCACATGGCAGTAATAATTCATGTCTAATAATCTCAGAGTACTTAGTTTGCTCTGGATTGTGCCCAGTATATTTAAGATCAGTTTTTATTTTCTGATTTTACAAATATTTTATGTCACAGTGGAATATTTATCAGGATTTAATTGAGATATTATCGGGTCAAAGCTGACGTACCAGAGAAACACATTTTGGAATTTAAACCTGAATCTTGATAATTGTTAAAGCAGTAGCTAGAAAGTCCTATACTATTCCGTGACCTTTTCCTTTATCTCTCCCTTTCGAACAACATCATTACAACTAACATATCAGTGAGCACTTTACACATTTCATCTAAAACTGAGGATCAAGTAGGAAATGCTCCAAAATTAGACGTATAATCACACACAAGGGAATTGGCACAGCAGTCGAACGACTTGATGAGGAAGTCTTTGGGCAAACTGGCTAGTTTGTGCATCTGCAGTTTGTTGCTTTTGAGATTATGCAGTACATTGGTTTAAGAACAGCTTAGTTTATGAACAACTTGGATTAAGAACGCTGCAAACCAGGCAGTAGGTGTTTTGGTTTGTGAACTTTGCCTTGGAAGCAGAACATGTTCTGCTTCCCGTTGAGTGTGTTCCATTTGTAAATCGAGTCCCCCGCTGCTATGGGAAAGGACGCCTTGTTTTAAGAACGCTTTGGTTTAAGAACAGAAATCAGGAATGGATTATGTTCATAAACCAAGGTACCACTGTAGTTCTTCAACTCTACTCTTGCGTCAATTTGAAATTCTGCAATACTGGAAAAGTGGTGCTTACAGTGCTGCAATGCCCCAGTGCGATCCCGCTCTGTCGCCCGCAGCTTGGAACACGGACAGCCCAATTAAGGAGACGGTGGGAGTGACGGTGAGGGGCCCAATGTAGTTTAGCATGGCCCCAGGGAGGCCCACCAGACCAATGACCACCTCAACCAGGCTAGAAACGATGATTGCTCCTTGGATCTATGGGAGAAAAGAGACACAACGTGGATCAGGTCACGTTTCACCACAGATACTAGTATTGGCGACAAGAAATGTGGAAATGTTGTGGATAGTAGGAGAGGATATATTGATTGAATATTACCCTTCCTCACTCACGCTAGTGAGCTAGTAAAGGTAAAGGTAAAGGGACCGCTGACAGTTAAGTCCAGTCACGGACTCTGGGGTTGCGGCGCTCATCTCGCTGTACTGGCCGAGGGAGCCGGCGTACAGCTTCCGGGTCATGTGGCCAGCATGACTAAGCCACTTCTGTTGAACCAGAGCAGTGCATGAAAACGCCGTTTACCTTCCTGCTGGAGTGATACCTATTTATACCTATTTATCTACTTGCACTTTTGATGTGCTTTCGAACTGCTAGGTTGGCAGGAGCTGGGACCGAACAACAGGAGCTCACCCCGTCGCGGGGATTCGAACCGCCAACCTTCCGATCGGCAGAGTTCATTCCCCTGTATATTGCAGGAAGCTAGATGGTAGATTCGTTTGAATCTCTTGTGTTAAGCAATCCAGACTGGCTTATCCATATTGGATTGTTCCTGGTAAATTCCCCTTTATTCCCTCTTCAACGAATAAGGACACAACAGTCGTCTCTTAAAAGTAGTTAGAAGTTTACTTGCATTCAATTCACAGTATGATCCTGAAAGCAGGCTTTAGCTTGTAGTTACAGAAGAGAGTGTGGGTTCATCCCATGTGGTGAATGAGCTCATGCAGACAGCAATAGCATCAAGAGGGAACAAGGCGAAAAAGCGAAAGGAGGAGGGGAAGATGGCTGCGTGGCCAGCCCTTCTGTAGGGTCTGCCAGGGTCACGCCCATCTATCTAGTCACACACAGGGAGAAGATGCTCCAGACCAGGTATGACAGGAAGTCCTCCTGGCTGGAGTAACATTCCCCTGTGTGTCCACTCTGGGCAAACAGGAAATGTTGTATTTGACTGCTCTTGTGATGTTACATCCCACAAGAAAATCCAGATTCTGTGGTGGGGATGCATTATGCAAGTTGATAACATCTGCAGAAATTGACTTAGTTAGTAGACCTTCTTCAGGTTGCATTATTCTTAAATGAATTACAAATTTGATTTTCCTCCTTGTTTGGGATCACTTAGGCTGCAACCCTTATCTTGTGCTTTTGTTTTGCATTTTTATGCATCTCCCTGAGATCTCCAGATGAAGGATGGTATGCAAATTTAATAAATAAATCTTTTTTAAAAAAAAATTAAACCCTTAATGCAAGCTTGCAAAGATGTGCAACCTAAGGCTGCAACCTTGCACACACATTCCCACGTTGGAGTTACTTCTAAATTAACATGCATAGGATTGCACTCATAGCCTCTGATCTAGAAACTTTGACTTGGAGGAGGAAGCACCTGCATTTCATCCCCATGACACTAGCAAAATGTATTCCACTGAATTACCGGTATATCAGGGACTCTGAGGTTCTCCAGTTGGAGAACAGATCCCAACAGGTCCAGCCAGTGTGGCCAATGGTCAGGAATAATGGAAGATGTCATCCAACATGTGGAGAGACATTGGTTCCCAGTTCCTGAATTACAGTTAGGTATTAATTGTATTTCAATAATAATAATAATAAGTTTGTTTATTATTTATAACCCACCTATCTGGCTGGGTTGCCCCAGCCACTCTGGGCAGCTTCCAACAGAATACAGTGTACCTCGGGTTACAAACACTTCAGGTTATGCGATTTCGGGTTGCGCACTGTGCCAAACCCAGAAGTATTGGAACGGGTTACTTCCGGGTTTGGGCGCTCGTACATGCGCAGAAGCACTAAATCATGCTTTGCGCATGCGCAGAAGCGCCAGATCGCAACCCGCGTGTGCGCAGACGCGGCAGGTTGCGAACATGCCTCCCGCACGGATCACATTCGCAACCCGAGGTTCCACTGTACAAAACATTTCAGAATGTTTTCTACCGCTTAAAACATCTAGAACAGGAGTAGGCTAAATGGCGACCTCCAGACGTTGCAGGTTAAGCCTCTTACTATACAATATCATTGTTCATGCTGGCTAGGGCTCATGGCTGGTGCTGGTGCAGCAGGGGGCAGATACCGAAAATCACTTTTTCTTGACTCCTTTCAATTATGAAAATTAAGCTTGCAAAGGCAAACAGGACTCCATTGATAATAACTTAGCTTTCCTGCAAAAATAGATCCCTGCCCGTTTTGGTTCAATTTGTTTTTACTGCAAGATTTCCATGGATAACAAAGGTCCATGTAACGTCTCTGTTTTCAATTCACGGAGTCCTCTCTACGGATTAGGCATTGTGATGTGGGTGGGGGGAGAATGGGGGGGTGGATAATGATCTTTCATTCTTTTGCATAGTGTATGTGCGGGGAGGGGGTTGTGTCAGCACCACAGCGCTGGGTTCTTCACCTTTTCATTTATGTGCTTTCGTTGGCGGTGCGACACGTTGGCGAGCCCAGAGCGTGGCTGGTGGGTTGCATTCAACTGATTGCAGTGAGTTTTGTTTGTGCGTTTGAGGGAGAGGGGGGGTCGATGGGTCAAATCAGCCTTATCGATTCATATGCTTCCGTTTTTGTTTAATATGCATTACTTCCTAATAACTCCTCGGCAATGAAATCCCAGGATCCGTGTTACTTTAGAGATGAGGCCCCTTCCTGGAAAAGGCTGCTGTTCAACTTACTTCTCTCATCCTCGGCTGCCAAATGTGGGACGTGTTTAATGGTAACGTCCAGTTGCCATAGATCTCCCCTGCATAATGAGGCAAGAAAGGTCAACAGATAAATATAAGCACAAGGCCAGTAGAACTAAGCAACCCGTTTAATAGAGACCGAGAGAGAATCAGTTAGCAAATGAAGCTTGTCAGCCAATTGCAGCAAAGACTTACACTGTGTTACTCAACCCTTCTGAGGCAATTTCCACATGGTCAGCAATAAACACAATAAGCGCACAGTTGTTACACGTTTGTTATATGCAATCCAAGCACTTCCCCTTCCAAGTTTGTGCTTCTTGTTGTTTCCCGGTGCCAGAAACATAATATTTTTTTACACGGAGCACCGAACCCTTACCCATCCTCCCACTCTATCCCTGCACATTCACTGCTATAATAATTGCCGCATGAGATATGGTTGCAAGCTCTCTCTCTATTAGCAGAAATATGGAGTGAAATGCTGGTGAATTTTCAGCTCTTTTAAAAAGAGTTACAAACTGACGTGGACACTGAATTTAAGCTTGGAAAAGTGAGGATTTTAGTATTTATTGCATTTTAGTCACTTTTTAAAAACAAAAACTAATCCAAAGCAGCTAACAACATAGTACAAATATTAAAAACTAAAGATAACAATCAGAATAGGCGTAACTGAGAGAAATCGAAATTGACAGATTCACAGATTGACTATGCATTATGTTACCATCTTGGAAGCATGGTGAGGCCCTCAAATTATTCCTGTTCACTTGCTCTCCTCTCTACTTAAATCTCCCTTTGTGTAGAGATTTTCAAAAGGGATACATGACAAATCTGAAGAATCATCACTTGTGCAGGCTCTGTATGTTAGCCAGATTTAATACGTTTCCCTCGATGATAGTAAGAGGAAGATATTTAGCTCTCCCAGAAGCAGAGCATCTCTGCAAATGTAGTAAACAGGAACCTGATACTTTGGAGCATATTATCTTTTCTTGTGATTTTGGCAATTATGCCAGAAGACAATTATTAGAGGCCTTGCAACTCAACAGGCTCAATTCTGTGCCACCAACAGTTCAGGACCTGCTCTCGGACAGGAACGATCAAACTACTTTAATAGTGGCTGAATTTTTGAGTGCTGTCCATGTAGAAAGACTGGGCCATTATAAAGAGATTTAGTGGTTCTTAATTGATCGGTGATGCGGTAGTGTTATATTGTATTATTTATGCAAATTGATTTTCTCTGGAGTTAGAGATCTGACTGGGACAAACCTTGTTATGCTGAATTTGTATTTTGCACAATTTGTATACGCCGTTTGTTTGATAATGTGCGGTTTGCTATGCCTAATAAAGGACTGACTTTTCTTATTCCTGTTCTATCTCCTCACAACCTTCAGGATGAAACGAGTTAGAATTACCTTCTGGAGGACATTTCCATTTCTCCAGGGCCAGAATAGATTTGGCGGGAACCAGGAACGCTAAGGCGCTGGCTTGAAACAGAGGCAGCCTGGATTGGCAAAAGAGAAGAGAGCGTGACTTGCCGCCATCAGCCTCCCACAACTTCCTTAAGTTCGCTGACGGGTAGGGAGGTGGGGAGCTGAGCAAAACATACCTAATTCCCACAGTGCTTTGGATAAGAGTCGTGATCCCTACGCAGCTGAAGATGGTACCAATGAGTTGGCTGATGGTGTATTGGTCCTTCCCGACGCACAGCGATTCTGCCAGTAGGAAGGGAACTGCGATGGTGCCACTGAAACATGTCAAGTAATGCTGGAGGGGGAGAATGGGAAGGAGGCTAGGTCAAAAGAGCACCTGATTAGACACATTCCCAAAATTTAAACCGCAGCTCAGTACTTCCGTATAAACCTACTCCGTATAAACCTACCCCTGGGATCTCATCCTCTGAGGCCTTTCTTCACGTGCCTCCTCCTCAAGAGGTCCAGAGGGCAGCAACACGAGAACAGGGCCTTTTCTGCAGTGGCTCCCCATTTGTGGAATGCCCTCCCCAGGGAGACTCGCCTGGTGCCCTCCTTTAGGCACCAGGAGAAAATGTTTTTCTTTAAGGCACCAGTCTGGAGGGACCCTTATGTGACTGACTGACTGACTGACTGACTGACTGTTCAAATTTGTATACCGCCTGTCAGGGAACTGCCATCGGAAGGACAGGAGGTGGAAGGGCTCCCTGAGGTTGAGACAGACTTAGCAGCTGAAGAGGGAACCAGCAGGGGGAGAGGAGGGGCTCCAGGGGAAAGTGAGTCGGAGGGATGGCTCAGAGACACTTCCAGCGAAAACAGTGGGGAGGTTTCAAGACCTCCTATAGGGACACCCACTCCTCGCCGGAAACTGTCACGCCGAGAGTCCAGAAGACGTGTTTCCGTTAAGGAGCTTTTATGCTGGAAGAGATTCCGTAAGAGACCACTTTCGGATTCTGCTAGCGACTGACGGAGCCATGCTGGAGGGGCTCCGTCGTAGGCAGAGGTTTGAGGACTTGACCAAACTCTGAGGGACTTGCATTTTACGCACAAGCAGCTCATCATCCCATTACACCGCCCTATACCCATAGATCTGAGGGTGGTTTACAACATAAAACGACAGTATTAGAAAACACAAAATGCACAATAAAAACAAGAACAGGCCTTTGGTTGATGAACATTCTATGTCCTTTTAAATGTATTGTGGGATTGAGGTTATAGGGTTGTTCTTGTTTTTATTGTGCATTTTGTGTTTTCTAATACAGTCATACCTCGGGTATGAGCGCGTTCAAGTTGTGCTCCGTGGCAACCCGGAAGTAACGGAGCGCGTTACTTCCGGGTTTCGCCGCTTGCGCATGCGCAGACGCTCAAAATGACGTCATGCATGCGCAGAAGCGCTGAAACGTGACCCGCACACACACAGATGCGCAGACATGGGTTACGTTTGCTTCTAGATGCGAATGGGGCTCCGGAACGGATCCTGTTCGCATCTAGAGGTACCACTGTACTGTCATTTTATGTTGTAAACCACCCTGAGATCTACGGATATAAGGCAGTATACAAATTTGATCAATCAATCAATCAATCACATAAGGGTCCCTCCAGACTGGTGTCTTAGTCCATGTGTATTCTGCCATGTGTGTTTTCTCTTTTGGGCTGTCGCTTGCGGATACCATTATTAGCAGATATAGGTCATGCATGCCTAAAAAATACCAATCGTCTTTTCCCAGGCTTTTTCCAATTCTTTATGTGTCTTTTCCCAGGCTTTTTCCAATTCTTTATGTGTCTTTTCCCAGGCTTTTTTAATATTAAAAAAGCCTGGGGAAAGACATATAAAGATTTGGAGAGAATGTGGGAAATGATTGTTGTTAAAAAAACCATGAAGTTATGGTACTGAGATTGTGTAGGACCTGGTGGACTTATAGAGCGAAAGACTTTGTCCCTGCAAGATCAGCCCATCCCTGTAGAAGGAAGAAGCCACCACCAAAGAAGATAAGATTGGGGGAAATTACCGTATTTTTCGCCCTATAGGACGCACTTTTTCCCCACCAAAAATGAAGGGGAAATGTGTGTGCGTCCTATGGGGCGAATGCAGGCTTTCGCTGAAGCCTGGAGAGCGAGAGGGGTCGGTGCACACCGACCCCTCTCGCTCTCCAGGCTTCAGGAAGCTATCTGCAAGCCTGCGGAGCCCGGCGGGAACTCCCACGGACTCCGAAAGCTTGCGGATAGCTGCCTGCAGCCCGAAGCCCAGGGAGCGCGGCACTGTGCACCCCGGGCTTAGGGCAGCTATCCGCAAGCTTGCGGCACCCGGTGGGAGTTCCCGACGGGCTCTGCAGGATTGCGGATAGGTGCTTGCAGCCCAAAGTCCGGGGAGCGCAGCACTGCGCACCGTGGGCTTAGGGCAGCTATCCGCAAGCCTGCGGAGCCCGGCGGGAACTCCCGCCGGCGCTGCAGGCTTGCGGATAGCTGCCCTAAGCCCGGGGTGCGCAGCGGGCTACAGCGCCACGCTCCCCGGGCTTCGGATAGCAGCAAGCTCCGGGAGCGATGGCGAGGTTGAGCGCAACCTCGCCGTCGCTCCCGGACCCATTCTGGGGGCTGGGGTCGGGGGAAGCTCGGGCTTCCCCCACCCCCAGCCCCGCAAGCTCAGGGGGAAATAATTTTTTTTCCTTTATTTCCCCCCCCCCCAAAAAAAAAAATAAGTGCGCCCTATGGGCCGGTGGACCCTATAGGGCGAAAGATACAGTAATTAATGAACTATGCAGGACATAGTAATTAATTTGAAACCCAAGAAAGAAGAGGACAAGAAAATGTTTAAGGCATACTTTTTAAGGGTTGCGTATGGGTTTGTACATTAGTAAAACTTTTAAAAGTCACTTGTATTAAGATGAATAAGGTTTTAAAATTGGATTGTTAAGAATATAAGGCTTTATGGACGTGCATGATTAAGCTAATATAACCATGAGGGGGAGCGGAGGGAAGGCAACTGAGTTAAGATTTAGGATTTGCATTTATATATTTGTTTTGTTTTGCTTTAAATTTGTGTTGTTGTTGTTTTGATTTTTGTGGGGGTTTTGTTATTTTTGGGAAAAGTAATAAAATGTTATCTAAAAAAAATTGTGAGATATCCAGATCACTCCTTTTAATAGCAAAAGGTGTCAGGTGATAGGACTGAAGCCAAATGGAGCCACTGACAAATAATAGGGAGGTGTCCAAACACTCAAAGAAACCCCAAGGGTTTGCAGAAGTGCGAACATCTTTTTAAACACACCTGGAGGGACCCCAAATGTCCAAATACCTCCTCTACAGTCCCGTTCAGTTCCTGATATCATGAAAAACACAACTACAATTCATAGAATCATAGATGCATAGAATTGGAGAATTGGAAGGGACCCCGATGATCATCTAGTCCAACCCCCAGCAATGTAGGAATATTCAACTGTCCTGTATGGAGATCCAACTTGCCACCTTGTTTGTGTATACAGCTGAAGTGTGAGTATGCACCCAATTTATCACTAAACCAGCAGCTGGAATTATAGGACACTATTTAGAATTTACATGGGCGGGGGGTTGGCACAGTGTCTTAGTTAACTCTGCACAGAATTTAAGTGATTAAAATGCATTTTAAATAAAGTACAGAGGGAGAGTCAAAAGGGAAGATCAAGGCAAACAATTCCATAGAAATCAACACTGTAAATCAACAAGGCCGATTATTTAATCAATGTAAACAATGAATGGAAAGTTATAGGCACCTTATGTGCCCCCCTAGTAACTTTTACTCCCTGTACTTTTGCAACAATAGTATTGCTAATGAGGCTACTATATCATATAACAAAATCTGAATACTTAACAGCTAGAGACCTTGATAAAATGGTTTCAGAAACCAGCGTGAGAATTATTTGGAATGGGGGAATAAATAAAAGTCATGAGGAACAGCCGAGTTTCTTTGGCTCCACTCCTCAAAGCACGTCACAGGTGGAGCTTGATTACACCTTTACCTGAAATCCCAGCAGGATGCAGAGATACCAAGGTGGCGCATCTTCAATTCTATAGATCATATCAAAATCCTTCTGCTCAGGATATATTGGCGGTACGGCATGGTTCCCATCTGCCTTTTGCTGGAAATAAAAGAAGAGGACTGTTAAGTGACTGAACTAGGGATAGCTAACCAGGGATAGGTCCTCCAGCTGCGGACTACAACTCCCATCATACCTTAGTACCGACCATGGTGAGGGAAGTTGTAGACCATCACATCTGGAGGGAATCAGAGAGTGGAATGCAGGAAGAGTTTGTGTTCTGGCTTGAACCTGGTGCTGCTATGCTAATGCGCTGGGTGTGATCAAGGCAGGTGGGCACATTATAGCCACATTCCAAGCCACATTCCAGATGTACCTGTGGGAGGGGGAACAGGACTTTGCAGTAGGAGGGGGACGGGGTGTCTGTGTTGGTTTGCCATTTCGTTGCTCTTCCAAGAAATCTCCCGCCTGGCAGAAATTGAAGCCGGACGAGGGGAAACAGACATTCACTTCCAGGTGAGGAGAGGCTGCCAGAAAGATCTTGCAAACTTGTGTAGGCTTTGCTGATCAAACAATACTAGCTGTAACATTCCTAAAGGAATTCATAGTTCTGTTGAGGATCCCCAAATAGTGGAGAGCCATGGAATGACAGCCACATCAACCCAGCTTTGGATGAACTGTTTGAATCCATTATGAAATATACTCGGAGTCGAGAGTAGATTTCATGCTCTTTATTCAGCTCATAGTGGTGAGGAGGAATGGAAGTTCCCCCAGAATGTCTGCTTTATATAAATTACAGTATTTTTTGCTCTATAAGACTCACTTTTTCCCTCCTAAAAAGTAAGGGGAAATGTGTGTGCGTCTTATGGAGCGAATGCAGGCTGCGCAGCTATCCCAGAAGCCAGAACAGCAAGAGGGATTGCTGCTTTCACTGCGTAGCGATCCCTCTTGCTGTTCTGGTTTCTGAGATTCAGAATAGTTTTTTTCTTGTTTTCCTCCTCCAAAAACTAGGTGCGTCTTGTGGTCTGGTGCGTCTTATAGAGCGAAAAATACATTATTTACACAATGGGCCCCACGTGATTGGCTATTTCCGGGATTCTCCTGTAGGCCAATCAGGTTGCGGATTCATTTCCACCTGGAGCTGGATTGGGTGGCTCCTGTGGACCAATCAGACTGCTGCATTCTGGATCCTATTCAACTCAGTACATAACACATTATATAAGCAATATTGCAGGTATGTGGTTATTGGAGGATGTGGATAGTGATGGGGGGGCTTTTTGCAATATTTTGGGGGCAAACCCATACAGGTACCTGCTTATACATAAAGATTATCAAGGGGGTGCCTCCTATGGGTGCCCTCAACTTCTGAAGTGAGCATGGTAGCTATCGGAGAGGGAGTGCCTTTTCAGTGGTGGCGCCCCAGTTGTGGGTTGCTTTTTCCAAAGAAGTTTGCCAGGCACCTACTTAACTGTCCTTTCTACATCTACTTATTTTTAGATGCAGTTTCAACTCTGCTGACCTGACTGTTTTATGCTGCTTTTTTCCATTTTTCTTTTTGCTGCTGTTAGCAGCACCAGAGGAAATACTCAAAGAGCTAGAAGCTTGACTTGAGACAAACAAAATGGAAAAGTACTCAAGTAGCACATGTTGTTCCACAGAGCTACAGCCCAGTACTTCTTTCAGTACTGGGCAATGTGCCCAGGAGTCCTGGGTTAAGTGCAAGAAGGTGGAGGCCAGAAAACAGTAAGTGTGGCAAGCCAGACCTCAGGGGAGACTGCAAGAGTTCAGCAATGAATGCTTTCTTTACCTGCCATCACTAGGGGTGCTTTGAGATGTGCACAGTTTAGCAGATCCAAATCACTGCTGTCCTTTTTTGAAAGCTGGAAGTGGAATAACAACTCTGATTCCACACCCTGAGAATCCAAATCACATCCTGTTGTTAAATGGGCTCTCTCTCATTAATAATAATAATAATAATAATAATAATAATAATAATAATAATAATAATAAATTGTTTATACCCTGCCCATCTGGCTGGGTTTCCCCAGTCACTCTGGGTAGCTCCCAACAGAATATTAAAAACATGATAAAACATCCAACATTAAAAACTTCCCTAAACAAGGTTGCCTTCAGATGTCTTCTAAAAGTCAGATAGTTGTTTATTTACTTGACAACTGATGGGAGGGCGTTCCATAGGGTGGGCGCCACTACCAAGAAGGCCCTCTGTCTGGTTCCCTGTAACCTCACTTCTCACAGTGAGGGAACTGCCAGAAGGGTAGAGATGCTCCTTCAGGTATACAGTGGTACCTCAGGTTACATACGCTTCAGGTTACAGACACTTCAGGTTACAGACTCCACTAACCCAGAAATAGTACCTCAGGTTAAGAACTTTGCTTCAGGATGAGAACAGAAATCGTGCTCCGGCGGCGCAGCAGCAGCGGGAGGCCCCATTAGCTAAAGTGGTGCTTCAGGTTAAGAACAGTTTCAGGTTAAGAACGGACCTCCGGAAAGAATTAAGTACTTAACCCAAGGTACCACTGTACTAGGCCAAGGCTGTTTGGGGCTTTAAAGGTCAGCAACAAGACTTTGCATTGTGCTCAGAAACATACTGGGAGCCAATGTAGGTCTTTCAGGACCAGTGTTGTGTGGTCTCAGAAGCCACTCCCAGTCACCAGTCTAGCTGCCACATTCTGGATTAGTTGTAGTTTCCAGGTCACCTTCAAAGGTAGCCCCACGTAGAGCGCATTGCAGTAGTCCAAGCGGGAGACAACCAGAGCATGCACCACTCTGGTGAGACAGTCTGCGGGGAGGTAGGGTCTTAGCCTGCGTACCAGGTGGAGCTAGTAAACAGCTGCCCTGGACAGAGAATTAACCTGCGCCTCCATGGACAGCTGTGAGTCCAAAATGACTCCCAGGCTGCGCACCTGGTCCTTCAGGGGCACAGTTACCCCATTCAGGACCAGGGAGTCCTCCACACCTGCCCACCCCCTGTCCCCCCAAAACAGTACTTCTGTCTTGTCAGGATTCAACCTCAATCTGTTAGCCGCCATCCATCCTCTCTTTTCCCAATCCCTGCTTTGAGGTGGTTGTGGGTAGATTTTTATTGGGACCATTGTATGTGGGGAAAGGAGTAAACGCTCCCTTCCTCCAGTGCTCCCCCTTAACATGAATCCCTGCCCCATCTGCCCCAGGTGCAATTGAGAGGCTGCAGAGTAAAGAAAATAAATACAGCAGTACCTCAGGTTAAGTACTTAATTCGTTCTGGAGGTCCATTCTTAACCTGAAACTGTTCTTATCCTGAAGCACCACTTTAGCTAATGGGGCCTCCTGCTGCCAGAGCACGATTTCTGTTCTCATCCTGAAGCAAAGTTCTTAACCTGAAGCACTATTTCTGGGTTAGCAGAGTCTGTAACCTGAAGCGTATGTAACCCGAGGTACCACTGTATTAGAATCAATGTGAAGCAGGGTTGATTTGTATTCTTGTTTGAAGAGATTTACCGTATTTTTTGCACCATAACACTCACTTTTTTCCTCCTAGAAAGTAAGGGGAAATATCTGTGTGTGTTATGGAGGGAATGCCTACGGGTGGCATGCCTACGGATTTTCCTCCTCTAAAAACTACGTGCGTGTTATGGTCGGGTGCGTGTTATAGAGCGAAAAATACGGTACTTTATTTTAAGCGAATGCCCCATGTTCTGTGAACTCCATGCAACATTTGTGGTCTGTTTTGATTCCCTATTTACCTTCCACAGTGCTAAAAATAGTTTTCAGTGTTTGTTCTCTGGTCTCGTGCTTTCCTTATCCTCTTATAATAGCTACAAAATATACTTCCATCACCTTTGCCTCATATAGAGATGGGGGAGAAAGTTGATTCAGTTTGGGTTGAAAGGAAAATCTACCTAATTCACGCTTTAAAAAGAGTGCACAAACCTAAACCATCAATTGGAATTTGCACTTCTCTGAATTTTGCTGCGCAGCTCTCCAGCTGAATAATGTGTACAAAATCGCATGTACTGTGATAAAGTGTGCATAAAAATGCACATTGGTGGAAAAAAACATTAAAAACCGCGTTGTTTTAGGCGAAACTGCTGCAAAAAAATAAATGTGTGTACTAGGAAGAATTGTGTACAAATGTGTATTTGGAAGAAAATTGCAATAAAATGGTGAACTTGCATGAGATTTTTTTAAAAAATGCAAACCAATGTAGAAATGCAGACAATCAAACCTAAGGCTAGAAAAAAATGATAAAGAGAGAAACAAAAATTGACAGATTTCCTTATTCCTGGCCTTAAGCCATACTTAAACATTTCCAAGCAATAAATTTCATGCAGGTCTATATGTTAATTTGAAGCCGTCAATTTACCTCGAAGTGAGCCGGGCCTTCGGAGCTGCTTCCCATTCCTATGCAGAACCAAAGAAAGAGGAAGTCTGACTCCAGGCATATTTATAATCTCTGTGAGGACTTTAGCCAACATACCAAAGATTGCCTGTCAATCTGTAACCACAGCGATTGGCTGCTGATTGTGAAATAAATTTATGGTATTGAAAGCTCACACATCAGTCCCTATTGAGGAGGACATTACACGGATAAAACTCATCCCTACCCAGATTTCCAGAATGACAGTTTTCACAGCTTCATTGGATAAACATTAATAGAATGGAGTTATTGCATAACCGGCTGGCTAGATGATAGCTTGCACAAAAATTCAACTCAAGCAGCCAGGATCCAAACGTGACATTTTGTTGGAAACCACAGAAACGAAAACGTCTCATTGTTTTAGTAGGTGGGTTCACGACAAGAAAACAAGCCAGCCCACACACACTGTTTTCTTCCATATTTTTCTCTAGTACCCCTTCCCCAAATCAGACCACCCATCCTTTCCCCTATAACCCAGTAGTATTACACTGTGTGAATTACTTTAATTTCTACATCTCCACAGCCAAATCTCAGTCTGCACTGAGACACTAAGGTTATGAATGAGATCAAGCAGTTTCATTAATGATATAATTGTTCAAGAAAGAATAGGATGTAGAATAGAAAATAAACATATGATGATATCCAGCATAACTCAGAGTAGACCCATTGAAAATCATTGGACCAAAGTGACTTAAGTTTACTAATTTCAATGGGTCTTCTCTCCATAGGACTTGGTTGGATATCGCCCACTAGCTGTGAATCAAAAAAGGCATATATTATCGGCTTGACTGGAGTAGTTGTTTTCAAATCTGAAGATTTTTAAAAGCCGGGATATTGCATTAGAGATGGGAGCACACCTGCAATTACCTGCCCCTTGCTGTTCTTCACAATTCATTTCTGCTTGGGTTGTCTCTTATCAGTCTTTCTTACGCAAATGTGCTCCACATCATATATACACCCAGTGAAAAGGTGCTTTCTTCCTCCTTTCAAGAGTATGACTCAGAATTCCTTGTTTTGTTGCTAGTGGAGTTTTGGTTTTGTCTTCTTTTAAAACAACAACAACACTGAATTTGCACGTGCAGTGCCAGTACACACTCCAATATCTTTGCCCAACTGTGGCAAACCCCACCCACCCCAGTTCCTTGAGCCATTTATCATGGGATTGTGAAGTAATCGAGGTAATCTAGGGCCATAAACAACCCTCCTGGAAAAAAAGAAAGAAATAAGATGTCTGTTGGAGGGGAGGTGCTGAATAGGTGCACAATGCAAAATCTGCTTAAGACTGTTTTAAAAGGAAATGGAGGATCTGTGATTATGTGGAGGGGAAGTAGCAATAGTGGAAGGGTGAGATGAAAGGTTGTTACTTAAATTTAGGGGAGAAACGAGTGCTTTCTGCTATTAGATGATGTGGAAAGTTCCTGTTGGTTTTCAAAGATAAAGTGTTTACACAATACAAAATTTAATCTTACGAAAGCTTAGTTAAAGGTAAAGGTACCCCTGCCCGTACGGGCCAGTCTTGACAGACTCTGGGGTTGTGCGCCCATCTCACTCAAGAGGCCGGGGGCCAGCGCTGTCCGGAGACACTTCCGGGTCACGTGGCCAGCGTGACAAAGCTGCATCTGGCGAGCCAGCACAGCACACGGAAACGCCGTTTACCTTCCCGCTAGTAAGCGGTCCCTATTTATCTACTTGCACCCGGGGGTGCTTTCGAACTGCTAGGTTGGCAGGCGCTGGGACCGAGCAACAGGAGCGCACCCCGCCGCGGGGATTCGAACCGCCGACCTTTCGATCGGCAAGTCCTAGGCGCTGAGGCTTTTACCCACAGCGCCACCCGCGTCCCGAAAGCTTAGTTAGGCTGGCCTAATAAAGAAGACTCGGGGCATACCTGGATATGAAATAATACAACCAATTAATTTTTTTGTATGTTTAGGACTAAACAAATATCGTTCCTCGCTTTCTCCCAAACAACAGTTCAGAAGGAAAGAGTCCTGTAATTTAGCATAGCCGAGGCTGGCTCTGTGTTTGAACCCTCTGTGTTCTAGATCATTCTGGACACCATTTTTCACCAGCCCATTAGACTGGATATCTAGGACTTGGAAGTATTCACAGGGTCAGTGTTCCTTCACATTACAGTGGTACCTCAGGTTAAGTACTTAATTCGTTCCGGAGGTCCGTACTTAACCTGAAACTATTCTTAACCTGAAGCACCACTTTAGCTAATGGGGCCTTCTGCTGCTGCTGCGCCGCTGGGGTATGATTTCTGTTCTCATCCTGAAGCAAAGTTCTTAACCCGAGGTAATATTTCTGGGTGAGCAGAATCTGTAACCTGAAGCGTATGTAACCTGAAGCATATGTATCCCGAGGTACCACTGTACAAAGGAACACAGGGTCATTCCACGCCAAATCACCTGATTTTAATACTTGACCGTGCTCTCACGACTCAAATTTTCTTCAAAAAATATATATGAGATAACCTCAAATTAATATTTTAAGATTTTTTGGTCCAAAATTGGGCACAGGACAATTTTTTGAAAGTTTTGATTTTTGCGCGATTTAGGCTAATGCAATTTCTGTGTAAGTTTAGAAAAAACCTCCTGTTTCGCTCATTTTTCATGGCACCAGGTGATTTGGCGTGGAATGACCCCACAGGGATGCCATGTTTGGTCCCATCATTGTGTTTGCATGTAACATCCTGCCCTCAGAAACACACTGAGGATGGAGCATCTAGAGAGAACAATGATTGCACCTCAGTTGTAATGCAACTGTGAGTTGGTCTGTGAGAGGGCCTTCTCGGTAGTGGCACCTGCCCTGTGGAACGCCCTCTCCATCAGATGTCACGGAAATAAACAACTATCTGACTTTTAGAAGACATCTGAAGGCAACCCTGTATCAGGAAATTTTTAATGTCTAATGTTTTACCATTTTTTATGTGTTGTAAGCCGCCCAGAGTGATTGGGGAAACCCAGCCAGATGGGTGGAGTATTATTATTATTACAGTGGTACCTTGGGTTACAGAAGCTTCAGGTTACAGACTCCGCTAACCCAGAAATAGTACCTCGGGTTAATAACTTCGCTTCAGGATGAGAACAGAAATCGTGCGGCGGCAGCGGGAGGCCCTATTAGCTAAAGTGGTATCTCAGGATAAGAACAGTTTCAGGTTAAGAACGGACCTCCAGAACAAATTAAGTTCTTAACCCGAGGTACAGTGGTGCCCCGCAAGATGAATGCCTCGCAAGACGGAAAACCCGCTAGACGAAAGGGTTTTCCGTTTTTGAGTTGCTTCGCAAGACGATTTTCCCTATGGGCTTGCTTCACAAGACGAAAACGTCTTGCGAGTCTTGCGATTTTTTTTCGCTCCCCCCCCTTTTTCTAAGCTGCTAAGCCGCTAATAGCCTTTTAGCCGCTAAGCCGCTAAGCCTTTAATAGCCGCTAAGCCGCTAATAGCGCTAATCCGCTAAGCCGCTAATAGGGTTGCTTCGCAAGATGAAAAAACCGCTAGACGAAGAGACTCGCGGAACGGATTATTTTCGTCTTGCGAGGCACCACTGTATCACTGTATTATTATTATTATTATTATTATTATTATTAGGTCACTGCCAAATAACTGGACAACAGGTGACAGGTACATATTTAATAACCACAAGGAAACATCATGTTTTTTCAGAGTGCCTACTACTATTACAACAAGAACAATGACAAAGAAGGAACAACAGTGCCAATTTTAATGTACAAATGGTTTAAAAGGACGACACATACCATAAATATACTTCTGCTGCAGATATTGTAAGCTCTCTCTAATCCATCTCTAAACAGTTGCACTCTTTTTTACCTCTTTGTCCCACCCGAGACCAGAAACAGGTTGGACAAGCCCAGGCTTGTCATGCTATGAGACCTATTTCAGAAAAGGCAGTCTGGGTAAATAAGGAAATGTATTTCAGTTGACAGCCAAATTTCATATAAGTGTATAACAAAGTCTCATTTTTGTAAAAGAGGAGTCGGTTCACGCTGTACTTCCTGGTTTGCATGCTGCACCTTCTGCCTAAAGGTGGCAAACACACACACACACACACACAATATATATATATATATATATATATATATATATATATGCAGGTTTTGGTGTCCTCGGGTGTCTTCCCGTGTAAAATACACGGGAAGACACCCGAGGACACCAAAACCTGCATTCCTGTACCCGTGAAAATCTACGAAAGCATATATATATATATATATATATATATATATATATATATATGCTTTCGTAGATTTTCACGGGTACAGGAATGCAGGTTTTGGTGTCCTCGGGTGTCTTCCCGTGTAAAAGTTGGGGTGTCTAGGCGACGTTTCGACGAGGTCTCACTCGTCATCTTCAGGCTGGTGCTTTCGGCTTCTTGTTACTGGAACAGAGCAGGATCTCAGTGTTTGAGTTCCTATAAATACTGTTGAGGAGGTGTGGTGTATAGCCTCCAATGTTCTGGGCAGAGAGGAAGTTCCCAGGCTAGTGTGCCTTTTCTTCTTTTGTTCCTTAATTACTTGAGGGATATCTGGAGTGATTTCTTGAGTGATATCCTGAGTACCACTTGGGTGGGTCATTAGGTGTGGATTAGTTGCTAAAGCCTTCGTGTCTTGACCTCTTGAACTTGGCTTGAACTTGGCTCTGGCTTGGCTTCGTGTATAGGGGCGAGCTGTGGTTTTGTGGCCTGTGCCAGCCAGATCTGTGTAGGGATTGCAGGGGGGTGCAGCATCCGGAGGTGCCACCATGGTTTGGCTACTGGATGGTGTCTGTAATTTATCTGTGGAGAGGGTCTGGGTTTGGGTCTGGTGTGGTTGATTGGTGATGGCGTTCTGTGTGCCTCTGGATCTGGTGTCGGTTTTTGTGGGGAGGGCTAATTTCCAGATGTCTGGCAAGTGGGATGTGTCGTCACGCTTGTTCATGTTGTGAGGGTGTTTCTCTATCTCGATGGCTTCCATGATTATTCTCTTGTGGTGATTATTCTCTTGTGGCTCTTTAACATGGAACATCACCACAAGAGA